TAAAAGGTAAAATACTAAGGCGACAAGCAATAACACATAGGACTCTTAGCAAACAAGAACAGGAAGGAGCAAATAAGAGGCTCAGTATACCTCCACAAATAAGGCATGTAAACAGCACGACTCAAACACAAATAAGGGCCTTTTGTTAAACAGTATCCTAAGGCAGGATGTCTAAATGAGTATGCAGAAGATAAGCAGTTTATTTTTATAAACTCAAAAGCCCTGTCAGTTACCCACTGATTTTTAAAACCTGCTAAACCAGAAGAACATTACGTCACAGAAATGGTTTCAGAGTTGCAGGATTCGAAAACGTCCAATAGGCTTGCCTATATGCGACATACAGATGGATACATTTTAAGGTGAAACAAGGCAGGTTTAAAACGGACTTTTAATCCCTATAGGCATGCTGTCTAATGATAGATTAACGCAGTTTTGAAAGAACTCGTTTCAGAAAAATAAACCATTAATTAGACCAGTTTTGAAGTGAAGTAAACGTAGACTGGATTGATCTAAGCTAGTTTAGATCGACAGGCAGAACTTCTGGTGGCATTCCTTATAGGCATGATATCTAGTTGTTTAACACTGGTTTCAGAAACTTTGCAGGCATGAAAAAACATGTAAACACTTATTATAACAGAAGCTAGGTTAAATTATATCCAATAGGCATGACATCTACTTGTGAAATTGATTTTAAGACTTATAAATATGATTTCTATTTTGAATCACTTGAAACGTATAGGCATGATTTCTAACATGGTGAGACAAACATGACAAGATGTGGAAATCCTATAGGCGTGTTTTCTACTTAGTAAGGCAATCATATCAAAATGTAAAGTCCTATAGGCATGGTTTCTACCCGTATTACCCTACAAACATGTAACTACCCACCCCTTTTCACTAATTACCCCAATATTCATTTACAAATTATTACAGACCATATGAATGAATTACAAAAATAAATAAGAAAATAAGAAGTTATTCTATAGGGAGCCTTCAATTAGGCCCAGGTTTCCAAAGCCTCCAATAGCCTCAAATGCCCAAATTCCATAGACAATGTCATAGTCCAGGTGCATCAAAGTTCCCTAAGGATCTCAAGGATCCCGGGCAGTGCTTACACCTAGACTTGGTAACCAAATTGAATAAGTGCAGTGTGGAAGGGCCAGCCTCAGTATGCTAGAGTTCAGAGGGTTCTCAAGAGGATTCCAAGGCAGTACACATACTGGAGGGGGCAGAACCTATTGACTTAAGAGTAGAGTGAGAGTGCTTGACATAGTTTGAAAGGGTTTTAGTAGGAAAACAGTGTTAAAAGCAACTTGTTTGAAATGATTTTGTAGAGTAAAGGAGAGAGTCATGTAGTAAAACAACTTTGAAAAGAGAGAATTACATGATCAAGCAACAGTAAATCAAACATGGAGTCTAAAACCACATCAGCAATGTTCACAGGACCCAAACAGGAGGAAAGAACCTACACACAAGGGTCATGGGGATTGGGGACACATAGAACACATGATTGTAAACACAGAACATACAAAGGTCTTAGAAACTGGTACAGGCATGCCTAGACACAACTGATCAAGCACAGTCACAGAACCAACAATACTTAAGGGGTTTAGTATAGGATCCAAATGATTTAAAACCAATTCCAGAACTATACAAGTCAAGAGTGCAGACTACATAGAGGGGATTCATACCAGAAGCCAAATAGTGCAAAACAGACTAAATAAAAGGGGGAGCATGCTCATACTGATACTAAGGAAGGGGTTTCACAATATGCTAATTATGTAATCATATTAACTGCAAGTTTCACAGCAAAACCATAAGTAGAAGCAAACTAGAAACTAGATGAACTGAAGCAATAAAAGAACCATATTGTTGTTGGAACTCGAATTGAAATTAGAACATACTGGTAAAGAGGACAGTAAGCAAAAGTGAAGGAGTAGGAGAGCACAATAGTTAGCCTTGGATTGCAGCCGGCTAACCCCGAATAAAAGCAAGTAGCACATAGAAAGAGCAGAAAGTTTTAAGTGTGAGGGGGAGAGCTTTTGAACCAAAAAGTTTGTGTGTTGTGACTGTGGAAGAGAGCCATTTATATAGTAGTTTGAAAACTGGTTAAAAATAAGGTAAGAATCAAATTGTTCAGTAATTATAGAACTCAGAATAAAAATTAGTTCGAGTCTCCCTTTAATTAAGGGAATTAGTACAAACGGTAAAGAGCAGGTGACAAGTAAGGAAAGAAATCATACATAGCTGGAGTATAACAAATAAGAAAATATTTCAAAATAGTACAAGTATAGAACAAGTAATTAGGGCTAGGTTCAGAAAGTTTTAATTAAGGAAATAATCAGTAAGAATCAAGTAACAACGCAGGCAAGGCAAGGGAAAATTAATTAAGGCAAGCAAATTAGTCAAATTAAGTGGAAAGGTAGGAATCGGAGGTTTAAAGGAAAGTGTTCAAATCAAACCAAGAAACAGGGAATTCCAGAATCAATCAAGAGGGAGTCACGATTCAGTATTCAGCATATAAATAGAGCAAGAGCAATCAGACACAACAAACATGCAGGTTAAACAGTACTAATAGAAAGAGGCAAGTCTGAACAATCAAGGTGAACATAATCACATAGAGGTGGTATAAGTTAGGCTAAAAGCTCAGTAAGAACACATTCGAAGCAAGGTATTCACAGAAACTTGAACAAGAATCGAGTAGTCATACTAACACACAGAACCAAACAAAGAAAATCTAAAAAAAATTAGGGCTTTTAACATAGGTGAGTTGAAAAAGCAGTAAAATCATAGAATCAGTTGAAATATGCAAGAGATAGAAATTTAAACATAAAGAATCAGTTTAAACAAAGTTTTAGAAGAAGTTCTGAAAACCCTAATTTTAGAAGAAGGTGAAAACAATTTGAAATCGATGATTCTTGTAAAAAGGATTCAAGAACAGTGTAAAACATCCAAGAAGCAGACTCGAATCGTTTTAAAATCGTACAGATCTAGGAGATACGGGAAGAAATTAGGGTTTCAGAAGAAATCCATATAGAAATGTAAGAACTTGTCTAGAAACCCAAGGATCTCGACAAATACAACGTGATTTTGCTTGAAATCACACCGGAGTGGCCAAGAACAGTCAAATAGCAAACCCTAGATGCAAGTCGGCGTGGCCCATAGCCCTTGAAGACCTTAGAGAAGGTGAGTGTGGCATGAGAGAAGCCATTGGAGGCTTAAGAGACGATGAGAGGTGACCGGAGATGGCCAGAGATGGGAGGTCGGCGGTTGAAGATTAGGATAGGTTTAGAGCGTTTTAAGAGCAGAGAGGATTTTAGGGCGGCGGGTATAGAGAAATGGTTAAGGTTGGGGGGTCGTTTGGGAATTAAAAAGGAAGGTTTTAATGAGGGTCGTTGATCTTTTAGATCAACGACCAGGATCTGATGGGGTCTTGGGTCGCGTAGGCGGGTTTAAGGTCTGGGTCGGGTATTTTGGTTAGAAATTGGGCTGGGGTTGGGTTTAAAATGGGCTGAATTTGAAAGGCAAATCTGGCTATATTTTAAATAGCCAATTTTTCCCATATAATTTATAATAAATAACAAATAATTTCGGAAAAATAATTTTGTGTACTAAAATGATTTAAAATAGATATTTAACATTTTAAAAAATATAGGAGACCAATTTTATGCATATAAATGTATTTATACATTAATAAGGCTAATATTGCAATTATATGCAATTTAGCTTTAAAAATACAAAATGCAACTATAAAAATGCACAAAAAATATTTCAACCATATTTTGGCATAAATATAGAAATTAAATGACTAAAGCATCATAACACTAATTTGAGGGATAATTATTGAGGATTTTATGAATAAAAGGGAAGGAGATAAATCAATTTAAATCCTTAAAATTATAGAAAAAATTATAAAAACCTTGTGCATCCTTCTATGTGCCATTTTGAAAGTATTTATACATATCAAAAAATATATAGGGAAAAATTAGGTATCAACAGTACTTATACTGCACTTCCTGCACATTGCGTGCAGATCCCGAATGCCGATGTTGCTGCGTTCGATGGTTGCTGGATTAGAAGGCGTACCTATGTTCGTGTTGTGTGCTACCTCTTGTTCACGGTAGCCTAGATTATAAAATTCTGTTTATGTACTATTCAAACAGAAGATGTATTTTCTTCATAATAACTTTGTAAACTCTATTCTTAGAAGCTCATGATTTGTACTACCAGCCCTTGGGAAATGTATAAGATTGGATAATTCTGTTGTTTAATTTTTTATTTAAGTTAAATGGAAATAAATAATTGTTAATTGGCTTACCTAGCGGGTTGGGTTAGGTGCCATCACGACTGGTGGATTTTGGGTCGTGACAACAATGCTGCATGCATAGCCCAATTGAACGGGGGATTTATAAAGGGATTTTTTCCTTCCTATACCATATATGAAACTTTATTACCAAATATGTGCATAGTATCTAAATTATCCGCCCAGTCCATATTTTTCCTACAATATCTGTACCATTCGTTTATTAGGTATTAAAAGGGCAGAATATTCCCTAAAAAATGCGCTAAAAATAAGGAAAGAATCTTGGGATTGATTGATTCTACATTAAATTCAATTTTTGAAACGGAAAGGAGATTTCTCATCTGCGTATTTTTCTCTTGAACTACAATTGAAATCTCGCAAAAAAAAAAAAGTACGAACAGCTTCAAAAAGTACGAACAGATTCAACTACTAACAGCTTCGACAAACTGAATTTAAATTGTAGAATTCAAATTTTCGAGATTCAACAACTCAAAGTTGCTAAATTCTGTTCTTCGTCGTTTTCAGAAATCAAATTGTCGATCATATATCTGTTCTGCATCTTTTCTTCTCTCAATCTAGAAATCCAAAAAAACATCAACAACAACAAGCAATCATGTCCAAAATCGCAATCATGCTACAATTGAATGGGAATTGGGATAACTATGGCAGATTTAGAGATTTTGAAGTTGATGCCATTATGGTAGATGACAATGCAAGCTACAGTATTCTGATTTCTACAATTGCAGAACAACTATCAATTGATACTACAGAAAAAATTGTAGAAATCAAATGCATCGTGAACGACAATTGTCCCCCAATGGAGATTAGGAATGATATGGGGGTTCGTGTTTATATGGAGACCAAAAAGGAGAATAGAAACTTAGGTTCATATCCGTTATGCATAAGTGTACGAGATTTCAATATGGAATTGGCAATCACCAACGATAACACAAGTGCAGGTTTGTGTAGTTCGAAATTGCATAGAATTATGGTTATACGAAATTATCTACAAATTTACTACATTTGTCTACAATTAGAATACAATTTCGTTTAATGAAAGAGTTAAGCAGTATTGTTTTCAAATAAATCTACAAATTGCAACAATTTTAATACAATGTAACTACAATGTCTGACATCCTAAAATGGATGACTACAACTTTTCACTATATCTACAAATTATCTACAAAGATTCTACAAAATTATAATGACACTGTTTATCTCTATTTTGATGCAGGTTTGTCTGGATCCCTAAAGTTACTTGATATGCCATCCTTTCTAGATATAGAGGAATATCAAAGTGAAATAATAAAAGAATACACGCAAACTGATATTGAAGAAGGACAAGTGTATCAGGACAAGCAAACTGTAGCTGCTGCAATGAAGCACTTTTCTGTGGTGCACAAGTTCCAGTTCAGAGTTAAAAGATCTAGTCATAGAAGGTATGGAAAAAAGATCATTTTAAGCAGTGTTTTATTCGAGTTATGTGTTTTTTAAATGTAGATAAATTGTAGTTACATTGTAGTTAAATTGTAGTTTATGTTACTTTATGTTAAAACAGTCCTTTTGTTGCACCTACAATTATAATCTGTGTTAAATATTGTATTTTTTTTGTAGCTACTGGCTTGTATGCGGTGGTGAAAAATGTAAATGGCACTTCAAGGCAACGTCAATTAATGATTCCGCAATGTTCAAGATAAGGAGTTTCAACAGACAACACACATGCTCCTTAATGGACGAAACATTCATACAGCGCAAACGTACTGCAGCTATAGTTGGTAGCATGGTCGTTCCAAAGTATTGTGATCCAAAGACTGTTTACACACCAAAAGACATACAAACTGACATGTTAGCAGAACACGGAGTGAACCTAAGCTACATGCAAGCATGGAGAGCAAAGGAAAAGGCTTTACAGTTTTTGAGAGGGAATCCATCTGACTCCTACAGCAAATTACCCAACTATTTTTATATTCTTGAGGAGACTTATCCTGGTTTGGTTGTTAAATTGAAGAAGACAGCAGATGAATGCTTCTTATACGCATTTGTTGTTCTTTGTACATCAATAAGTGGTTGGCAACATTGTACGCCAGTAGTAGTGGTTGATGGGACATTCTTAAAGTCAGCATACAGGGGGATTATGCTGACAGCAAGCACCATGGATGCAGCAAGTAAAAAGTATAAAAATTTTGTAGTTATTATGTAGGCAGTCTATAAAATGTAGATACATTGGAGTAATTTTGTAGCTATTACAAAAAAATGTAGATAAATTATCTATATTATGAAGATATATTGTAGTTGTTGTGTATTTATATTTTTATATACATTTGCAAAGCTTCCAATTAATATTTTATGAATTGATAATGTAGGTACAATATTGCCCTTGGCATATGCTGTGGTTGATTCTAAAAACGACGCATCTTGGAAGTGGTTCTTTGAGCAATTCAAGCAGGCATATGGTGAAAGACCTTCAATGTGTGTTGTTTCAGATAGGAATGAGAGTATAATGAAGGCAACGGGCATGCCACACTACTCTTGTATATGGCATATTTGGACAAATATAAGGTCAAAATTCAAGAAGGGCCATCTACAATTACATGAATTGTACTTTGCTACAGCAGGGGCATACACACTGGATGAATTTAATGAAAGGATGTCGAAGATTGAAGAGATAGACCCTCGTGTTAAATCATACCTCTATGATATTGGCTATCATAGATGGTCAATAGTACATGCAACGGTGAATAGAACTTGGACTATGACATCAAACATTGCAGAGTCATTGAATGCTGTAACAAAATATGCAAGAGAGCTGCCAATATTTGACCTACTAGAGTATATGAGGACGCTTCTTGAAACTTGGACGAAAGAGAAGTTATTGAAGGCTAAGGGTACCTTCACATACCTTGGGTACAAATTCAACAAAGAATTGGAGAAAAACAGTACAGTATCTCAGAAACTTAGGGTAAGATCTGTTTATTTGGTGCAGAAAAAATATATTTTAATATACATCATTTCTAGATTGTAGATAAATTGTAGAAAAATTGTAGTTTATTTGTAGATTGTGGATAAATTGTAGATATATTGTAGATAATCTATTTTTATGATTGTAAATATTTTTCTTTCTGTTTGTTCTGCAATTGTAGGTGAGGGCTTCAACAGATCATATACATACTGTGTTAGATGGTGTGAAGCGGTACATTGTGTGTCTAGAAAATAAGAAATGTAGCTGTGGCCAATTCCAACTTGAAGAACTTCCATGTGCGCATGCTTTGGCAGCATTAAGGCACAGGCATGAAACATATGAAAACTATTGCTCTCCGTATTACACAAGGGAGAGCCTTCTGCGTACGTATGAAGTACCAGTAAATCCTCTTCCCGATGAAAGCAAATAGAATGTGCCACAATATATTTTGGATGAGGTAGTATATCCACCGGCGGGAGATAAAAGGCATCCAGGGAGACCTCAAAAGGAAAGATATAAAACATATGATGAAATAAAGTCTATGAAGTACAAGGTGTCATGTGGAAATTGTGGAGGTGAAGGGCATAACAAAAGATCTTGCAAGAATGCTCCCAAAAAGAAATGAATATCATGTAGTTAGAATGGTTATTCAAACTAACTGTTAGTGAGTTAAAGTTAGCAGATTTTTTTGTGTAATCGTTTAACTTTTTAAAGATTATTATGAAGTATACTACAATTTGTTTATGTGTGTTTAATATGCTTTTATGTATCTTGTCAGGCATCTAAATTTATCTTTGATATAGTGTAATTAAATTTTTGTATTTATTATCTACAATACAATTGATATTAAAAAGTAAGTTCATGTAAAGTGTTTCCAGATTGTAGGTAAAATATAGGTTAAATGTAGTTAAATTGTAGTCTTTATAATAATTTATAGACAATTTGCATATTAATTGTGGATAATATATTTCTGTGATTGGAGTATTTATTTCTTCTTTTTGTTGATGTAATTTAACTTCAACTGACAGTTATATACAGATATTACATAGAACTTGAAGGTAAACAGCTAAAAATTATGATATACAACTACAAAATTTATATACAATAACTACATTGAATCTTCACAAAATGTAGATATTGTGAAGCTTATTGGTAGGCGAATCGTATTCTAAGATCAAAATACTCATGTTTAATATAATGAAGATACAGTGCTGTAANAGGTTGGTTGAGAGAGAAATAAGAGGGGGAAATGAGAGATGGGGGGGGGGGGGTTAGTCGTTAGGGTTTAATATGGTAAGAGTGAATCCGGGCCGTTGATCAAAATTGATCAACGACCAAGATTAAATTAGGTCCGGGCCGGGTATAGTTTGGGTTTGGGCTTGGGTCTGGTGGTTTGTTTAATTGGGTTTGGGGTTGGTTTGATTTAGGTTATAAATTAAATAAGAGTGGCTACTTGTTAAATACCCAACTAAATTAGATAAATAATTAATAAAAATAGCTAATAATTAGATAAAATAAAATTAAATCTAAATAGGTGAAATTAAGGTAATTAACTCATATTTAAAATATAAAATAATTGATTATTGAATTAAAATAGCGTACAGTGTACAATTAGGCTATAATTGCAAAAATTGTTGTAATTATAGCCAAACAATGCCAAATTGGCTAATTTGCAAAATAATTAAATCCTAATAGGATTAAAAATGATATATTGAGCTATGAAATACTTTGAAATTACTTGTAATGTAATTTATGAATAATTATTGGATATAGAATACTGAACAAATTGGAAAATAAATTGATAATAATATGGAAAATCATGAAAAATATCAATTATTATAAAAGTGATTTTGAATGCATATATGCGAATTCAAAAATAGTTAGAGTGAAGGGGTAGCTTAGATAGACTCCCAACAGAGTTATTTCATTTCTTAAAGCTCAACGAATGGTTGAGAAGGGGTATGACGCGTATCTAGCTTATGTGGAGATGTCAGTATTGATACCCCTACAGTTGAGTCAGTTCCAGTAGTGAGGGACTTTCAAGATGTGTTTCTAGCTGATCTTCCGGGCATGCGGCCCGATAGAGATATCGACTTTGGTATTGATTTGTTGCTGGGCACTCAGTCCATCTCTATTCCTCCATATTGTATAGCTCCTCCTAAGTTGAAGGAGTTGAAGGAACAGTTACATGAATTGCTTGTTAAGGGCTTCATTTGACCCAGTGTGTCACCTTGGGGTGCTCCTGTCTTGTTCGTGAAGAAAACGAATGGTTCTACGCGTATGTGCATTGATTATCGCCAGTTGAACAAAGTTACAAAGAAGAACATGTATCCTTTGCCTCGTATTGATGACTTATTTGATAAGTTACAGCGTGCCAGAGTGTTTTACAAGATTGACTTGCGTTCAGGCTAGTATCAGTTGAAGATTCAGGAGCCAGACATCCTGATGACTGCTTTCAGGACTCGGTATGGTCATTACGAGTTCCTTGTAAAGTCATTTGGGCTGACCAATGCCCTAGTAATATTTATGCATTTTCTATTTCGTCCATATCTTTACTCTTTAATCATTGTGTTTATTGACAACATTCTGGTGTACTCCCAGAGTCGAGAGGATCATGAGGAGCACCTGAGGACTGTGCTTCAGACCTTGAGAGAGAAGAAGTTATATGCAAAGTTCTCAAAATGTGTGTTCTGGTTAGATTTCGTGGCATTTTGGGTCACATAGTGTCGAGTGAGGGGATCAAGGTGGATCCAAAGAAAGCGGAAGCAGTGTAGAGTTGGCCCAGACCGTCCTCAGCTATAAAGATCCGGAGTTTTCTTGGCTTGGCAGGGTATTAACGTCTATTGTTGAGGGATTCTCATCTATTGCAGCACCTATGACCAGGCTGACCCAGAAGGGTGCTCCGTTCAGGTAGACAGAGGGGTGTGAGGAGAGCTTTCAAAAGCTCAAGACAGCTTTGACTACAGCCCCATTATTGGTATTGCCTACGGGTTCGGGTTCTAATACTGTTCATTGCGATGCATCACGGATTGGTCTCGGTGCGGTGTTGATGCAGGATCATAGGGTGATTGCCTACGCGTCCACACATCTAAAGTCACATGTAAAGAACTATCCTGTCCACGACCTTGAGTTAGCAGCTATTGTTCATGCCTTGAAGATTTGGAGGCACTATTTGTACGGTTTCTCTTGTGAGATCTACATTGATCATCGGAGTGGAAATGAGAGTGGATCACTATGGATTTGTTTTTGGACTCCCAAGGACTCAGCGGAAGTTTGATGCAGTTTGGGTGATTGTGGATAGGCTGGCAAAGTTAGCTCATTTCATTTCTGCTGTTAATACCCAACTTTGCACTCATATTTTTTTTAAATAATATAAATACTTTCAAAACATCATTTTGCATTATTATTTAGTTTACAAATCTATACAAGCATATTTTCTACAATTTTCATAATTTTTAGAGTTTTAAATATTAAATTTCCTACATTTAAATTACTTGAATACTAATTACTCCTTTTAATTATTTTGTGACGACCTAATTATCTAAAATTATTACTAGCACCAATAATACATGTTTCAAATATTTTATTCTATTTTGATATAATTACATTAATATTTTTAAGCTATTTGTAAAATTTTGCAGTAATAGCCCATATTCACATACAAATGCTCTTTACTTATATTATTTGTGTCATAATAGTATTTTATATTTTTATAAAGCTAAGTCATTATTTTAAATCATTTTAGTGCATAAAAATAGTTTTATCTATTTATTAAGCATTTTTGTAAATTATTTTTGGAAATTACGTGTATTTAGAAAGCTGGTGATAACTGTGATTTTAACACGTTTTATGCCCATACTTGCCTATGCTTTATGTATGCATTGTCCTAAAATAGACTCACAATGCTTACAAAGTGCGCTTGATTGCAGGTTTGAGCGAAAAGATGACAAAAGTCAAAAATCGGCTCGAAACGGAGTGAAACCTGCTCAAGTGTCAAAAATCATTGAAGTAGGGACAAGAGGACCTAGCGCGGACCGCACTGATTTGCTGCGCGGCCGCGCTAGGAGATTCAGAGAGTATACATTTCAAGGGTAACCATGCGTGGTCCGCGCTCCTATCTATGCGGTCAGCGCTTGTGTCCACGTGGTCGCGTTTCATTGTTGCGCGGTCCGCGCCCATCAGCCTGCGCGGCCGCGCTACCTTCTTGTGCGGTCCGCGTCCCCAGCTTCAGAAGTGAGTGATCGAAGTCCAAGACCCCTACGCGGCTGCGCTGCATTTCTGCGCGGTCCGCGCCAGCCCCGCAGGGGGATTTTTATCTAGTTTTTCTAGCCTAGTATAAATAGAATATTTTATTATTTCTAGGTTAAGAATTAGATATCAGATAGCAGCAGCACTCGTGAGACTAAAGTTTTAGCCTATTTTGGGCATTTTCATCTTGTTTTATCGTGGATTCTTGTAGATTAACATTCTAGTTAATTAGTATGTTGATTTTATCTACTACTTCTTCAATTTCTGTTGCTATTATGTCTAGCTAAACCCATTAGCTAGGGTTGTGGCTCAACCCTAGTATGGGTAATTAATGAGTGTGATTGTTTAATGCTTGAATGATGTTGGGTGTTTGCTATTTGGGTTAATTTTATGATTTAACTAGGATTTGGTGGTTGCAAACACTAAGTCTAGCTTAGTGGGTCTTGACTCTTCTTGAGAAAGAGTGTCTATGACTCCAAAATTAACCCAACAAGGAATTGGGATGGACCCATGAGAATGGTAGTCCCAATTAACGGGTTAAACCTCGAGAGAGTAATTACCCAACTTGAACCCCTAGTTGCTTGGGCTTGTAGGCCTACCCAATTGGTTTCGAGAGAGTCAATTGGGCAAAATCACTCTTTCTACGGAGAGGTGTGAGAGTGAGTGCAATCGTGCAACGGTTATAGCTTATGCCCCATAATCATCATTCTTGTATTAGGAATCTCTACCCGTTAGTAGACCACCTAGGTAAATGCCACGACCCTGGTGCCTTTCTCTATCTTGCATACAACCTAGAATTAATATCTTAGCATAATTTAGTTATAATTAGTAGTTGTTAAATTGTAGTTGATAAACATAAAAAACCAAAAATGATAGAAGATCAATTAGAAGCAAATACGCATTTCTAGACTAAGCAAATATCCAACTCCCTTTCTAGCTCCCTGTGGAAATTGACCCCGATACCACTATTGGGTAAAAGTATTAGCGCCCAGTCTTCCTAAGGTTGAGTCTGCTGCGGATCATCTGGCCCAAACTTTGAGCCAATTTCGGACCAAAATTAGCCCAGCAACCTCAGCCAAATAACCCCAAGCCCAAGTCATACCCAACTCGACCGGTACCCGTTTTTTATGACCCGCCCCGTTCGTTTTAAATCCTAGCCGTTGATCTCTCAAGATCGACGTGCCTCATGCATTCCCCTGTTTTAATTAACCTAACCCGCCCCAAAACCCTATCATTTCTTCTCAGACGCCGCCGTTGAATCCTCTCCTCTCTTCTCCTTAGAAACCCTAGCCGCCCTCTCAATTTCTCTTCAAATCCGTCTCAACCATGGATTCTTTCCATGATTCCCTTAACTTTCATGTGTTATTTCATTATTACCTACAAGACCATGATATCACCTAGTACTTGCCTAAACATGGCAAGTACTATCTCTCAGATTCTGTTCAACTTCAATCGCTTGAATCTGGACAAAATCTTGTCCATATGCATCATGGCAAGGCTATATTGGGTCTAATTAGCCAAGATTTTCGGCCAATCTCCGATTTCTTTCGACTAGGGTTTACCTAATTTTCCCTAATCTAACTTCTATTGATTTCGCTCGACATTATTTCCTTATTTATGTTGATTTTACAGTATTTACTTGTTTGAGATTCTGGGTTTTTGTTCTTTGTTTGATTCAGAATACTTTGAAATTGTTCTTTATTGTTGTCCATTTAACTAGTAAGTCACTTGCTTTTGGCAATTTCGCTCTTATGTGTCTACGATTTGCATATTCTTACTTTTGGAATTCATGGCTTAATGTGTTTCTGGGCTGCTTTTGTGTGCAACTTTGTTAGCTTTACACTCGCTTTGAGTCTCTTTAGCATTTAATTTCACCTAATGCTGCCAATTCTGATAGAGCTGTCACATTTCCTTTTTCCCGAAAAGGGCATAAGGAAGTTTTTCCAATTAAAGTGACAATAATCGATATGGGATTATTTAATTTAATTTTATAGTCGCCATTTGGGATAATTTATGGTGTCCCAAGTCACCGGTTTATTTTGAATCCCAAATCGAGGAAATTCACTCTTATTTATGGTTTGCGAACACAGAAGATCGGGTAAGGAATTCTGTTAACCCGAGAGAAGGTATTAGGTATTCCCGGGTTCCGTAGTTTTAGCTCGGTCTCTTTAATCATACATGGGTTAATTAAATTGCTTAATTACGTATTCTAGAACCTATGTGCATTTTACCTTTTATCGCCTTTTATTTGAAACGAATCACGCGTACATGTATTCAATTTGTTTGGTTATTCATAATTACGAAATTATCTTAAAACGAGTAACACATACGTGTACTCATTTTGTTCAGCGCGTCAATGTCACGACCCAAAATCCAGTGGTCGTGATGGCACCTAACCCAACCCGCTAGGTAAGCCAACTATTAATTATCCAATTTCAATTATATTAACAAGACAACTAAATGAAAGTATTTTATGGAATATTATACATTTTCCAAGGACTGGTAGTACAAATCATGAGCTTCTACGAATGGATTTTAAAAAGCAACAATGAAACAAATACACAGTCTGTTTGAAAAGTACATAAACAGAGTTTTATAAGCTAAGGCTACCCTGAACAAAGGAGGCAGCTACAACAGGGATTCCGGTACATCTTCAAGTTCCGCAACCACCGAGCACAACAAAAACAACAATCGACATCTGCATGCAATGTGCAGAAGTGTAGTATCAGTACAACCGACCCCATGTACTGAGTAAGTAACAGACCTAACCTTAGGTTGAAAGCAGTGACGAGCTAGCACAGGATCGGGTCCAATGCCAATATTTCCACAACAGTTCATAACAACATAATACAAGTAAAAAAAAAAGATATCTCAAAAATAAAATACTCAGCTCGTTCAGAGTTCCAGAAAATGGTCATGCTTTTCAAATATCTCAGTGAAAGAAAATCCCAGATCTCTAACCGAAAATGCCAAAAGTACGAGTAAGTTTAAAAACTGTAAATTTTCAAAATATCCTTTCCACAATAAATAAAATGTCTCATTTTCTTTCCAAATAACAAGTATAAATTGCCTCTCCATACCCACATATCAATGTGTATAATAAGTAATGAATGGCTCACGAGGAAAATGCATGAGGAAAATGCATCTCTATGCCTGTATGTCAT